ATATATATGACTGATATCAGGTTAGCAGAAGATCACTTATATCTGAGTTTTTAAGTTATTGCAATAGAATACCATGGTCTACTGTGTCAAAGGCTTTGGCAAAATCAATGAAGATAGTTCCATTTAGATCTCCTTGTTTCATGCCAGGTTAGATGTCATTGCAAACTTGTAAGAGGACAGTTGTAGTTTAATGCTTTGGACAAAAGCCTGATTGACCAGGGGCTAGATAGTTTGATTGTTAATAATACTCACATAGTTGTGTGAATGCATTTTTGACAATACAGGTAGCAATGATATCAGTCGATAGATACCAAAGTATCATCACCACTTTATGGACAGGTACTACTCTTTCAGTCTTCCAAAGTTTGGGTATGTATTCAGTCACCAAGGATTCAATGATTAAGGTTGTGACTGGTTTGGCAATTGCTGGCGCACTGAGCTCCAGCAACATTTCCGGGATTTGATCAGGTCCACACTGGTTTTTTATTTTTAGATTATTAAGGTGTTTATTAATAACAGCAACAGGCACAGGTCTAAAACTGAATTTCTCTACATGAGGTCTTTGCAAATTTAGTTGGGACTGATCTGCATTTAGAATTTTAGATTGGTTTTCATTCGTTAGCTTAGCTATCTACCATGGATTTCCCCAGATGAGAAGTCACACAGGCTATGGTTTATGATGCACCATGCAAAGCTTTCCATTATTAGACTTACACACTGTGGAAGTGCTTTCTATGTAGTCGTGAATCACAATTCTCCCTCTACCAGTCCAGTGGATGTTTCTGGTGAAGGCCAAGGGAACACTAACTACTAGTAGATGCAAGTTGTAACATTTAGTAATTAAAGAATATGGAGCTGGTGCTAGATCAATGATGTATAGTTTTTAGTCATATTATTAGAGCTATTTTAGCATTATTGGCTACTATGCTCCCCTGTACTATTTGCACTATTTATGTTTTATACTTTTATGCTGCTAGTCATGCATTTGAGCATTTGGGAGATTGCTGCATTGTTTATTTATTATAGTGTTTATATGTTGTGTATATAGAATTGTTTTGTGGAATAATATGTAGTGAATAATTGTTTTTACTTCTTTGCACAACTTGTGGTAGTTTCTATGGTTTAGTTTTTTGGGTTTTTTTGTGTGAAAGGTTAGAGGGATATGTTACAGAGTAGCTATGGTGTTCATTACTAATACTGTCCAAGGAAGCACTTTATATGCCGTTATCCCATGAACACCAACCTATAGTGTTAGAGTTTGTAGAGAGATTATTGGTGTATCTTGCCTTATTGCAGGGCAGTAGATTTTGGAGTTTTGGTTGTGATAGTGGCACGTGAATTTAATATTTCCCTGTTGCAATATGGTGAGACCCTATGATGTAATCCAGTGGTTAACAACAATGCAGAGCATCACCCTGTGTATAAGCGATCCCGTTGACCAAATTCTGCAAGCTTTTCTGCAAGATTTCTTGTTGGACCATACCTGTATTACTGTTCATTCTTCTGGCATCTCCTGATGATAAACCTGGCCATTAGCTACTTGAATCCTACCTTGTTTTCTGGACAATGCACTTTTGCAACCTACTTGGATATTTATACCAATTCTCTACATTGTCACAACAGGTGTGTTCTCAGTTCACCTCTAATTTATAAGAAACATCCACTGGCACCAACAACAACCCCTTTGAAAATGAATGTTTTTAAATTTTGTCATGGCGCAGAACTACTAGATGCAGACACTAGTTGTTAACATTGTTCAAAGGACTTCCATGTTTGTTCTTAATTCAATAATAAAACATTAAAAATATAATTGGATAATAGTATTTTCTAATGTCTGTCAAATCCTTTTTCATGCCAGAAACTGTTCGTGTTCCCTATAATCTTTGAGTCCTCTAATTCTTTAACTCATGTCTGACATAGTCTCTCTATCCATGCCAGTCTTCATTTGGCTATCAATGAATATCTGTCTCTATTCAGTTTTGTTGTTTTGTCTAATGCTTTTCTTATCTTCCAACTATTTCACTATTTCTATCTTTTCTGTGATTTCTGTCCTTTTCTTCCCCCTCTTTTTTTTTTTTTTTACAAAATTATTGAGTCTTATTACATACAGAATATAATTCATTAATTCATGAGCATAGGAATGCAACAGTGTGTGTGAGTGTGTGTGTGTGTGTGTGTGTAAAAAGTAGAGTAGCCCCTGCAAAAATAGAAAAAAAGTCATGGGGTGGTTAAAGTGCCAGCATATATAACAACAAAAACAGCAGCTAAACAAGAAGAGAAGAATTTTATTAATTCATACTGTTATTTGTAGAGAATCAAAGACTTTGCAAATTATTATTTTTTTTTTATAATTGAAATACCACATGGGCATAAGAATTCAGACTCTTTGCTAGAACACTTGAAAATTAACCCAAATGAGCCCCATTTCTCTGGATCGGCTTTGAGATGTTTCTACACTTTGATCGGAGTCCACCGGTGGTAAATTCAATTAATGGAACATTATTTGGAAAGACACATTCCTGTCTATATAAGCTATAAAGGCATTTAAAAGCAACAACCAGTGCATGGGGCCAAGGGAACTTTCTGCAGAGCTTACAAAAGCATTAGCCTTCTCCAGTGCTTTCTATAATAATTATTAAATGGAAGAAGTCCCCATAATTATTAAATGGAAGAAGTTTGGAACAACCAGGACTCTTCCTAGAGGTGGCTGTCCAGCCAAACTGAGCCAACATGGGTAAGGCCTTGGTAAGAGAGATGACCACTCTGGGTGAGTTCCACAGCCCATTTGTAAGCAAGTTGGAATTAGCATCATGCTTTGGGGGGGGTTTTCATCAGTAGGGACTGAAAGACTGCTCATGGTGGAAGGAATGCTGTAGACAGGAAAATACAGAGATATCCTTAATGAAACCTTGGTCCAGGGCCAAAGGTTCACCTTCCATTCTTCCAATAAAACAATTACCCTAAGCACACAGCCAAGACAAGTTAGGGACAACTCTTTGATTGACCTTGAGTGGCTTAACCAAAACCTGGACTAGAACTCAATTGAACATCTCTGGAGAGATCTGAAAAATGGCTGTCCACCAACAGCCCCCATCTAACCTAACAGAGATTGAGAGGGTCTGCATAAATGAATGGCAGTAACTACCCAAATCCAAGTGTGCAAATTGTGTCACATCATGCCAAATGTGTTTCAACTAAGTAATGAGTTAAGGGTCTGAATACTTATGTAATTGTGCTATTTCAGTTTTTTTCCACTTAATATATTTGCAATAGTGTCCAAAATCTGTTTTTATTTTGTCATTGTGTGGTATTAAGTGTAGACAGATGTGAAAAACAAAATGAAATTGTAGCATTAAAGTTTGCAACATAAAAAAATAATTCCTGTTCTCAAAGAAATCCTAGGTGGGGATCATACCACCAACACTTTATCAATAAAGCAGTGCTTTTGCTCTATGCTTGTGAGTATTATTTTATCTTTTACCTATATTTTTATCATATTGAGAGCACTATTGTTGCCTTTTCTCTTCCGGTTAGAGCCTTGGATGACCAGACGGTGCTGACAGATGCACTTTCTTCATATATCCCATAAGCGGGGATTATATTGTTGCACGCCCTTCCCACCAGAGCTGGTTATAGCTCTTTTAAATGTGAGTTCTTTATCTCCTTCTATATTTTTGCACTTATTTTTTTAACTTATTGCACTATTGGTTGCCTCTGTCTCTCCATCTTCCATAAAACGAACTGACATCCAGAGACATTCTGACACACCTATCTCCACTGAAGAGTCTGCTTGTCCACATTTTATCAAGGGCTATCCATTGCTGCTCTAGTGAGATTTTTTGGATTATTTTATTTTATTCTATCGTCTGGCGCAGCTCAACTCCATCTTTTTGTATTGCTTTTCTCTATTTGTTGAAGGATTTGAAGGGTTTCCTTCATTTCGGTTGCTGCCCATTCACATATTGTTTGTTAATTAGTGCTGACTTTCTGTTGTTTTGTTTATTCTAATTTAATTTGTGCCTCTGAACAATGATATATGCTTATAGATGCTTATACAAACGTTGGTATTAATTGCAGGCTGCTCTTGTGACCTACAAAGAAGCCCTAAAATTTGCACAGAACATCCTACCCTCCTGGTTGCAAGAATGTAACTTCAGTAATATGAGTTTAGAACCCTCAATGACATCTCTTGAATGAGAAAAGACGGAGGAATGTTGGGTTAAAATATAACCTCATTGCGTTGCATGTTGGCATATGTTGGTAATTTCTAAATAATGTAAAAAATATAAAATATATACAGTATAGTTCACTTAGTTTAGTGCTTATTGTGTGCTAATTTTTTTAAAAAATATAACATTTATTTCATAATTATATAGAATTACTATCTGGGATGTCATTTTCTGTTTTAAAAGAAATAAAATTGATAATTACTTGTACAGATGAATTCATAAAAATGTAAAATATCTCTCACTTATTTTTATCAAAAGGAATGTATATGGTAATAATGCTCTGGCAAAATTAATTCCCAGAAAATGAACTGCCTTATACTTTTGTGATGATTAGATATTACTGGAAGATGCTAGTTTCAGGACGACTTAGGACTGCTTCAGGTCTGGAAGGTTGCCAAGTATAAATTAACACAAAATCTGGACCAGTACAACTGTATCATTCAATAATTAACACAGTCTACAATAAAAGACACCATAACACTTCAACCTTATTTATAAATATATTCATACAAATCTAATGATTGAACAGGTGGCCCTTGTATTTCACAAGCAAACTGTGAGTATAACTACCCTTATGTTGGTTTTCAAGTTAAAATATTTAGTCATGTTTGGGTACCAGGACCCCAGGCGATGTTTTAGATAATGGCAAAGATGTATCTGGCAATGGAAGAGACTTTTGTTATAGTTCCAGAGAAATGTCTGTATTTTCTACAGTAATAAATAGTTCTAGATATCTCTAATGACTCTCCACAAGAGATTTAGAATTGGATTTTATGGAGGAAGACTTTTATTGCATGCATGAGAGGTCGGTGGGGAGACAGGCAGAGCTGGAATCGTCTTGTTTATTCTTTCCCCCTAAGAAAAAAAAAGACAACATGGAGACTCAGGTAATGGAAACATGTACCAAAATTGACTCATTCATATTGACTATACAAACCATGCATCATATAGCCGTGTATCTAGTAGTCAACTATGACTATGTACAGAACAGAGAGCCAGAGAACCATGTATGACCCAATGCCACATAGCTGGGTTTCACCCAGTGATAAATTACTCCATATATCTTAAAAAAAGTCTAATGTGTATGCACCTGGGATGTAGATAGTTATGTATCCAATAGTAACAGATCACAGTGGATCTTCCAGTAACTAGTAAATCTGCATTTCCCAATGATAGATAGTTTTGTACAGGAAAACCCAGGTTCAAATTGGTCTGACCACCTTACCAGTAAGTGTCCTTGGGCATGACACCTAGCAATATGTATAGCCACCAATCTCAAATGCTTTTAGATTGTAAGCTTGTTCGAGCAGTTCCTTCTTTACTTTTCAATATCTCCTTTCCATAATTGTAAAGTGTTACTGAATATGTAATACATGCTAATAATATATAAATAAACACTAGTAGTGTATAACTGATTGTAATGATATTAATATCATGATTTATGACATAAAATAAAGCATAATGAGGTTAACGCTTTAGAGGCACCACTAGGCATAGGCGTGCGCAAGGGGTGTGCAGGGTGTGCCTGGGCCCTAATCCCCGCGGCATGCCTATGTTCATTGAGACCGGCAGGGGAGATCGCTCAGCCTCCCTCCCCACTGACCCACATGCAGGGAGGGAGGCAGGAGAGGACCCGGCGGAGCTATTGCCGGCAGCTCCGCCAGGTTCCTCTCGCGAGATATGAGCGTTGCCGGCAACGCTCAAATCTCGCGAGAGTGAACTCTAGCCCCACAGGGGCTAGAGTTCACTCTCCACTGGACCACCAATCAGCATCAACAAGGATCCCCCTTCCTATAAAAGGTAAGAAGGGAGGGGGGATAGCAAGTTATGTACCCCCACCTCCTCCCCCACAATCACCCACCCACATACAGCAATCACAGACATACAACACCCACACACATACAGCACACACACATACACAGCACACACACAGCACACACACACATTCAGCACCCACAGACATACACAGCACCCACAGACATACAGCACCCACACACATACAGCACCCACAGACATACAGCACCCACACACATTCAGCACCCACAGACATACACAGCACCCACAGAAATACAACACCCACAGACATACAGCACCCACAGACATACAGCACCCACACACATTCAGCACCCACAGACATACAGCACCCACAGACATACAGCACCACAGACACATACACAGCACCCACAGACATACAGCACCCACACACATTCAGCACCCACACACATTCAGCACCACACACATACAGCACCCACAGACATACACAGCACCCACAGACATACAGCACCCACACAGCACATACAGCACCCACAGACATACACAGCACCCACAGACATACAGCACCCACACAGACATACAGCCCACACACATACAGCACCCACACATTCAGCACCCACAGACATACACAGCACCCACAGACATACAGCACCCACACACATTCAGCACCCACACACATTCAGCACCCACAGACATACACAACACCCACACACATACAGCACCCACACACAGCACCCACACACAGCACCCAGAGACATACACAGCACCCACAGACACAGCACCCACAGACATACACAGCACCCACACACATACAGCACCAACACACATACAGCACCCACACACACATACAGCACCCTCACACACAGCACACAAACAGCACCCTCACAAACACAACCCTAACAAACACACACATAGCACACTACCAGTACCCTCACACACAAACAGCACCCTCACACACAGTACATTAACAGCACCCTCACAAGCGCACACACACACACAAACAGCACCCTCACACACAGTACATTAACAGCATCCTCACAAGCATGCACACACAAACACCCTTACCCACATAGCACACTACCAGCACCGTCACACACACATCACACTAACAGCACCCTCACACAGCACACACACACACACACAGCAGTGTGTGTATGTGTGTATATATGTGTATATATATATATATATATATACATACATACATATATATATATACATACATACATATATATATATGCAGCGTGTGCTTGTGCTTTAGGGTGCACACCCTAATGCAATAGGCTGCGCACGCCTATGCCACTAGGGGTAGTGTGTTGGATTCCATAAGGCATGTGCTCCTGGCAGTGACATTACAGGCCAGCCTACTTTAAAAATACACTGGAAATAAAAGCCAGATGTGGGAGGGATTCAGTCTATTTGCCATTTTTAGAATGCAGACTACCATCAGGGGACTGTGTAAGTTTGTTGTTTTGTGTTGTACCATTTGAATCCATTGTAACATTTAGCAACTGTTATAGCCTTTTGTAAGTAATATGTAGTAGTTTTGTATTGTATAATTATTGTAGTAAATTAACATTCTGCTAGCATGTGTTTACTTGTTATTATAATTATATAATTATATATCTATATATAATTAAAGGCGTAATATTCATCTTTAAGTCACAGCCTCAGTTAGATATCTTTATGTGACAGGCTGTCTTGCACTGAGATGAAGAAGTGTTTACCTTGCGGTTTTGTGCTATGGCGATGTGATTACACTCTATCTCTGCTTTCTGCGCAATCTCCCTCAGTTCATCATCCCATTCTATAGAATCAAGGTTGAGGACAGCATCTATTAAACTGGAAGAGAAAGGAGGGTTAAATTGTACATGTTCTATGTACACAGAATGGTAATGGTTACAGGGTGTGGAAGAAAAAGTACAATGTACATAGGTAATGGAATGTAGAATGAGGTGTACATGATATGCAGAATAAAGGGCACGTGCTATATGTTATTCCAGTATTTCACAACCTGTTTCGAACCAAGAATCTCAAAGGTGAACCATTTTCTAACCAGCTATCCCTGACACCAATATTACACTTCCATAAACCAGACATTCAATTGGATACCACCAGTTACCTTTATCATTGACCACTACATTTTCTACACACATCCACACACACTCCATAATCTACATGCATACACTACACCCCTAAACACATACACAAGTTTCTATGCACACACAGGCTATAGACTCTATACACAAGCACCACACACACATATGTACATTCACTACATACTCATACAAATGAGGATGGCAGCTTCCACTGTTCCTTCTGCTTTCTACTACTTTTTCTCCATTTGACCCAGCACACGAAATAAAAAGGAATTAAGAGGCACACAGGAGTCAAGGGTTAACAGGCTCAATTACCACACTAAAGTTAAGGGGGTTGAGAAAGACACAATAGGGTAAGAGGTTTTTTTTAGGTTAATATAAGGTGGTGAGGTTGTGAAGAGACACACAAGAGTGAGTAGGTTGGGAGAGAAACACTATATTGGATGTGGAGTTAGGAGATACAAACGAGGGGTGGGCCTAATGCACTTGCCACACCCAACCATGCATGCACATTAGCCGCCGTGTTGGATGAGGTTGGAAGAGATGGAGCACCAATCCAGTGCAGAGAGACACAGATTTGTATTTCTAACTCTATAGGACCCTTTCAAGACCTCACTCACTCAGTAAGTCAAGTATTAGCTTAGATTACTGGTTATTTTTTTCTAGTAGTAAACAGGTTATCTGCTTAGCTGTGGAAAGCACCAGGGAAAGTAATATTCTTACACGTTGTTACCATTTTAGGCAGATCCATAATATTACTTTTTAATGAATAAATATATGATATAATATAAATTTTAGATAGAATAATAATTGCTTGTGACTACATGTATTTTATATATTCTTATCAGATGTTCATAAACATTATACTTTTTTTTTTACCTTAGAACAAAGTAAGAAGGAAAAGGTTAAGAAGTATTTCCGTATTTGAGTTGGCACCTACCTATCAGTGTGCTCCTGCCCCAGTGCTTCAGTGATATAGTTGATGTCAACCAGGCTCCAGCAAGCAGCCATCTCAATCACTGGATAATAGAAGAGAAACCCTATGCACATTTCATTCATAGTACTTGGGCCACCCTGAGGAAGACAGACATGATTAAAGGAACACTATAGTCACCTAAATTACTTTAGCTAAATAAAGCTAAATTGAACTTTAATCACATACAGGAGGCTCTTGCAGGGTCTAGCAAGCTATTAAAATAGCAAGGGAAAAGAAAATCTTAATTAAACAGAACTTGCAATAAAGAAAGCCTAAATAGGGCTCTCTTTACAGGAAGTGTTTATGGAAGGCTGTGCAAGTCACATGCAGGGAGGTGTGACTAGGGTTCATAAACAAAGGGATTTAACTCCTAAATGGCAGAGGATTGAGCAGTGAGGCTGCAGGGGCATGTTCTATACACCAAAACTGCTTCATTGAGCTAAAGTTGTTCAGGTGACTATAGTGTCCCTTTAACAAACACAGGTGTGTGCAACTTCATAGTAGAATTAAGAGTGAGAAGCTTGCTCTTACTTCAAGTACAAATCTGGATTTAATGCATGCACTCTCATCTTCTACAGTGACATGTTAATTACTATGACATCGGTGTAATGCACATACACAAAATCCTGAAACATTTCTTCTTTCATTCTTTATTTTCTGCTTTATATCACTTCATCCTCCCAATCTTATTCTTTTTCCCTGTCCTAATCTTTCACATTTATACTTTTCCCATCCTTCCTGTGTGCTGAACTTCTTTCTTATGGCATTTCCTGACATTTTACTTCTTACCATTTCTTATTCCTACTTATGTCCTGCCTTATCGTAAGCCTTTATGCTTATGTTCAGTCCCTAGGTCCTAAACTCAACTATATCCTAAATTCTGCCCTTATTTGCTATACCCTTCCTTGTTCACTGTAATTGTCTATCTTTATCCTGATGATGCCTACCTTCAATGTAAATATCGAGTGATTCAAAGCTAAATACCAGTTATTTTTGTTTGTGTACAAAGTGGATGATCAGACTTACATATGTTGTTCCCTCCCGATCCATAGTGTTTCCGGTACATTCTACCATAATCTTATCACCCTGGGAATAATATGGAACAAAATATATCAAAACTTCCATAAAAAAAGCTGGACCATATCAGACACATTTCCAAGTTCAATGGAGACATACATAGGAATCTGAGTCTCAAAGAGACTAGATTCAAGATTCAAGATTGTCTTTCAGGATAGCTAAAGAGATCATCATGGCTAGCTGTACCTCATTCCTTGATGACTCAATGCACTCATGCTTATTTCTAATGTCAGCAGCAGTGACAGAACTAATAAGAAGAGGGCCATAGTACAAGAACATTTTAGACCCCCCTTGTAAGGTAGATCACCAACTATCATAAACTTCAACGCTGTTTTTTTCCAGATGGGGATTTTACCACTGTCTGTGTGTTTGAATATAAGAATGTTTTTGCATTGAGTAGGTATATTTGAATATAGATGTATATCTGTGTGTAGTGTTGCTTTTTGAATACATGATTAAGGTCTCACGGCCGAAATGTTGTATCTTTGTTTTGTGTCCTGTACCATAATTAAATATACTTTATTCTTTACCCTGCACTGTTTAGCCTGTGGCTCTCTACTTCTGGGTTTATATTGGGGACTTGCAGACCTCACCCACAGAGCTCCAGTGCATCAAGCTACTAGTGTGCAGCACTCCACTAATTGGTTGAATACAGTTTGTGTTTGTAAGCAGTTTTGTCATTTTAATGCAGGGTGTGTTTGTATATAGTGTTGCTGTTTGAATGTTTGGGTGTGTTTGTGTGCGGTGTTGTCATTTGATTAAAGTTGTATATTTGGTTGTAGCGTTGGCATTTAGAATGTAGGGGTGTGTTTATGTGTAGTTTCAGATGTATACTCAAATATACATACATTGCCACACACAAAGAGATACACATAAATTGCCACACAAATACAGACACAAATACTCATGCACAGATACACATATACTCTCACACAAACAGATATACACACACACCCTGGCATACACATACCGACACACATACTCTGCCACAAAAACATAGACACACACACACATACACAAACACATATACATACATACACAAACATATATACACATACAGACACACACTGACACACAGATACACATGCAAGCTAACACACAAACACATATTGAGGTTATAATTTCCTTCTTTTTAGCCATCTTCCATCTCTGCTGGGGTCCAGTGGATCTGACTTCTGTCTGATCTGAGTTTGGGGCTAGTGCAATCTCTCATTCCTTCCCTTCTCTCTGTGCCACCTCCTAGTCTGCACAGGGACAAATTGATCTGTTGTGATAAAGTGAAGGCAGATAGGCCTTTTAACCCCAGGGGAAGTACGTGTAGTTTGTGTGTTGCACAACCCAAAGCTTTGTTTAGTTATGGGCCCCTGGGGTGGAGCATTTGGAGAGAAGGGTGGGCCAATGCTCCACTCCACAGTTTAGTGGTTTTCTGGCGAGATGTAGATCCAGGCCAGGGTTTTTTGGACCGTCTCCAACCCACTGCTCAGCTGCAGTTAATGAGCTGTTGCAGTGGGAATAAACCCCTCCCGGCTAGGCAGGAAAAAGAGGAGAGGGATTGCTGGCTTCCTCCCAGGAAGCAGGTAGGAGAGAGGCTGTTCTCTCCAGATAGAGAGTCAAGAAGACTAGGCACTGGGAGTGCAGAAAGGAAGCAGTCAAGGCTGGCTTGGAGCACTGGGAGTGCAGGAGGAAGCAGTCAAGGCTGGCTTGGAGCACTAGGAGTGCAGAAAGGAAAGCAGTCAGGGCAAGGCTGGCTTGGAGCACTGGGAGGAGAAAGAAAAGCAACAGGCTAGCTAGCAGAGTGTTGCTAACTAATAAGGTTGGTGCAGTATGTTTTGTTAGTTTAACCCTGATAGAGAGGGTTATTCAAAGTGAGTCAGTGCTCAGACGAGCTAGGTTTTTGTTTAAAGGGAAACCTGTTACATTTATGTTTTCATTTACTGCTGTATCCTGTGTGGATTTGCAAATTAAGTGCCTGGAATGAAGTTGCATTAAAAGACTGTGCATGTTTTTGCCCTAGAGGACCGTGCTACCTGCTGACAAGGATCACACTGTATTCACTTCCTCCCCCAGTACTGCTGATTTGACAGGGGCCAGTAGTGCAGCTAAAGGACTGCAGAGCCATACCGGGATCCTGATTAGAGTTGCCCATTGGGTGGCTCCAAGTGTAAGGGCCACCTAATAGGCCTCCTGCAGCTTGCAGGCCCTGGTGTGATCATTATGACTGCACCAGCAGTAGCTCCACTTCTGGTCAGTAGGATTTACCAACCGGAGGCTAATCGCTAATGTGTCTGTCACTAACATCAATGAGTAGCAGTTATTTCCTAAAACTTCAACCATTAGCAACTCTCAATTCCAAAAAAAAGAAAACCATTAGCAACTTAGAATTCCTGTCTGGTGAGGCTTTTAGTGGCTCCTATAGAGTAGAGTTGGAGACTGGTTGCTGAATTTTATTTGCTGTAACAATTTCTCAATATTTCAAAACCTGTCACTGCTTGATGGAAACAGAAAAAAAGTAATTAAAAAAGTGCCAACTCCTCAATCATCATAGAGAAAAAAAAAATCATATTAAGAAACTGAATTATATTTAAATCCTAAAGCACATATCAAACCATATGAAACAACAATAAAAATGAAAAGAAGCACATGAGTTTAAAAACTCAAAAAAATCTTCATAAGTTAATTGCAAGTGTAATTTAAATAAATAATTTGCAGAAAATACATCAACATCAAAATTTTAAGCACCAACATGGACCCACAAACAGATATAATACATATTGGAATACACAATGGCAATTCATCTAAATTATTTTTCCAATTACAACATATATTATGATACAAAATATATTTTTAATGGACCATTTTAAGTGACCATTATTCTCATATTGGATATAGCATTGACTTAAACGTGAAACAAAACAGAGATATGTCATGCGCTACGGAATTTGTTGGCGCTATATAAATAATAAAATCATAATAATAATAATGTACTACAAAATGGAATATCTGGGTTTGTCACAGTATAAACAAGAGGCTGCTGACATGACGTTATTTAAAATGAATGATTTTTGGCTGTAAGATACATTAGATTAATATAAGAGAATAACCATCTCTAGCAGATTGCATATAAGAGAAGCACAGATGAATACATTTAAGAAGGATTTCACAATAAACACAATATGAATTTACAGGAATATATGACAATTTATATTAAGACATTTCCAAACCTTTATTTGTATTAAATAGTTATGACAACTAATCTCCTTTCAGTGTTATTTAGTAGCTGAATATGAATAGTACTTATGTATTTGCTGAATCATTATATTTTAATAGATCATTCTTAGATAAAACGTGGAGATTCAAAAGGGCACAATGCGAGTATTTACCATTTTTATAGTGACGGTTCCAGGCAGGTTTCTAATTTGTTGTAAAGTGAAATCGTATTTATTGTCCTCACCAAGACTGCCAATTAAAGTGTCATTGCTTGATAAGAAAACAGAGAGAGTTAAAGCAGACCTAGAACTAATTAAAGTCACCCCAAACATCCATCACTCCAAAGACATTCTTGATCTGGAAGTCATTTATTGTAGCTGCTCCACTCTCTAGGGCATGGACAGGCAACCTTCGGCATTCCAGATGTTGTGGACTTCATCCCCCATAATTCTCTTACACCCATAATGATGGCAAAGCATCATGGGAGGTGTAGTCCAAAACATCTGGAGTGCCGAAGATTGCCTATGCCCGCTCTAGAGCCTGGTTAGGCAACCTTTGGCATTCCAGATGCTGTTGGCTACATTTCTCCTGATGCGTTATGGCTTGAAAAGCATTACGGGATATGTAGTCCACAACACCCGGAGCGCTGAAGGTTGCCTACACCTACCCTAGAGATCTGTGGGTCACTTTGAGAGAGTTAGTTCATTATTGGCATATAATATTTACATTATCAACTCCACAATGATTATGTCAATGCTTAAGTCAATGTAAAGTACTTTTTTTTTAAAAAAGGTGTGCTTAAAAAAGGTGTTTAGTATAAGAACAGTGAGCACCCCAATAGTTAACTTGTTATTCAGTGATGGATACAATTACTTTAAGATAAGGTTCATGCTTGTGACTTGTCCTGCTCTATATATTAACGAGTTAAGCAATGGTAACATCACCATAATCATATATATCTGCATACCTCAAATCCTCATAGATCGTTTGACCTTCATATTCTTCTCCACCTCCAAATGTTCTTTACCTCTATATATACCTTTTTATAACTATAAAACTCTGCAGTATATGAATAAGTATTTAACCAGGAAAGGTGCATTCTGATTACTCTGGTTTTCAGGTACATCCTGGGGATGTTACCTTAGCCCATCCAGGGGTTGGTACTTATAATGTAGCAACATTCTAAAATGTGCATCAACTTTCCTCAGAAGTAAAATCAGGTACTTTGGTATGTGATAAGAGAATGAAGTAAATGTATATCATCTTACCGATAATGCATGATCCTTATTCCACGTGCAGTGAGGTGAGCATGCAGAAGGAATGTAGTGACTGTCAGATCACCCACTGGCTTACCTAGAACCTATGGAAAGTCAAGAGAGATACACTGGGAAATATATATAAATAAAGGGGTTATAACTCTCTTGCACACGAGTTATCGCACTTTGTGTAATTCTGCAACAGGTACATTTTGCTTGTACACATTATAAATTCTTGACTGTATGAATGCATGACAAATAGTGACACCAACTGGCTGAAGTCTGCATTACAGCAAGTGTATTTTCAGATTTGTCCAAAATAACTGGTACATCAACATGTATCATTTTAAGGAGGCTTGATAAAATCCTATTGTATGATGTCACGAGAAAGTGTCAAGAAAAGGGATTAAAATTGAATAATAACTGTGACGAAGTGCCCTTCACCACTTGGCCCTTTTAAGGAGTACTATTTGGGCATAATGGACTTTTATTGTACTGTTCTGGCCCTTTAAAAACAGCGTATGGACATATTGAAACTTTTTGGACACTTTTTCTTCCCCTTTGAATCCCTGGGAAGGTGTGGCTCTTCCCCTCCCCCTGCTCCATTGTTCCCCAGCAGGGCCTTGTCCCAGGCACACTGCCAGACTAGTTGGAACTGGGGTTGGGCAGAAAAAAAATCTGCTTGCGTTTGGTCCAAAAATACTTTTTTACTATCTCTGGAACCCCTGGACAGATTTCCACCAATTTTGGATATGTTTGTCCCAAGTTATACTGGTAAAAATAATATAAGTTTTATGTATGTACGATGTAAATTCACAAAGTTATAAAAATGTATAAAAAGTGTAACTTTTCAGCTTGGAGATAATTGAGTTTGTATAGTAATTGACTCAATTATCTCCTAAACAGAGGGGAGGAATATGCTGGGTGTGTTTCTATTGTCCCATTGTGTCTGATTGGCTGCTGTACTTGCATTGTATGTGTTGTAATGTGTTTATTGGTTGTTCTGAAAAACCCTGTGGTTGATACTATGTGTGGAAAACGTGCATAAAAGAAGGCCCTTTGGTGCCAAGTAAAGAGATCCTGTTTGACCCTCAATATGTAGCCTTGTCTCGTTATTGGAGGGAGCTGCTATAATCACACTGGGGATTGCTATGCTCTGCATACTCCCCTGAGCTTGAATAACTTAGCTCTTTTAAGAGCTTGTTCCTGATATGCTCTCCTGGAGGAGAGGTTTTCCCCACACAGTACAGGATGCTGGAGGTTCATACAGGGTTGAAGGAAGAGGTCTTTCCTACACGGTCCTGGAGGACAGAAGCTGATCCAGGGTGGAAGAAAGACGACGATACTCCAGTCAAGCTACGGCGGTTGCGGAGTCTGCAGTGGTTGTGGTGTCCGGTGAGGTGCTTGTGGTCCTCGGCACAAGCTAGGAAGCGTCCATCAATGGAGGGTCAGAGTAAGGGGAGCTCCGTTACAATAACGTTCAGGCAGGATGAAAGGCAAAACATAGGGCAATGGCAATGGACAACTCACACAAGAAAGAAGGTGGTGGTCTTTGAGTAGAAGAAAGGACAATGCAAAGAGATACGTGATTTCCATTTGGGGACAGAGGGTCGGTAAAAGGAAACATGAGTAAGGATAAATTAAAGGAGCCAGTACCAGACAGGGTGAGATAGAGGAAAATGTCAATAAAAGTGTGGATGAAAGAGTGAGAAGCAAGTGAAATGGCACAATCCCACCTACATTGTACTGGTGTCTCCCAACCGATGGCAAATTATATGTTTAGAAGGACCTTAAAGATGCGTCCAAACTGCCATGTCTATATTGAAAATACTTGACAACTGTTAGCATCATCAATGAACTTGATGTCTTAAAACTGTGTTCTTTTGAAAGTGACAATCTCTTCTTTAATTTTGCATATTTGGCCCATTGAGCTTGACATTGCAATATTAAATGGAAGAAAAGATAAATATCCAGGCACACCTGAGGTTTCTTCTAAAAGGAAGTCTTTTTATTTGGAACAAAAAAGTGATAAAAAAAACTTTTTTGTTCCACATAAAAAGACTACCTTTTAGAAGAAACCTCAGGTGTGCCTGGATATTTATCTTTTCTTCAATTTAATGTCTCCACGGATTGGCCTTCCCTTTCTAGAGCACCCTGCAGGAAGTATTCCACCTTTAGTGTATGCATTGAATTCTTGTTTTCTTGCTAACAATTACAATATTAACCCCTTAAGGACCAAACTTCTGGAATAAAAGGGAATCATGATATGTCACACATATCACGTGTCCTTAAGGGGTTAAACATGACATTACAGTTTAGTCACAGTATAAAGACAATCATTTTTCTGACTTTGGTAACATTGCTGGCAAAAAAAGTATGGACAATTTAGACTTGTGATGACTTTGATGACATTGTTCTTCGAATCAGTATACATTTACCCACTAAACCTTTACAACACTTACAGGGCTATTCACTAATATATAAATTGGCAGGAATTCAAAATGAGTTTAAAATTTTAGTTCATAAAAGTCAAATTAGAGGCACTTTGATTCAGCATTGGATTGCCAATTGTATCATGCTAGTGAAAATGTCTATGTGACTTTGGCAAAAATTTGTAGAGAAGAAAGTATATGCTTTTCTTTCAATATTTCAGACAGGATATGAAATATTAGCATAGAAGAAAAAATAAAAGTTTTGTTACATACTGTAGGTGCAACAAAAAAATTTAAAAAATATATAACACTTAAACAAATAGAAATTGTCAAACACTATTTTTATTTATAAGAAACCTAAAGGTTTTTTTTTAGGAAAGCAACTTAAAAAAGATACCGCATTAAAACAGATCTGTTACTTTCAGGGAATCATGGCTTATTATGCATAGAAACCTAAAAGGGATATTTCCACTTAGGGCCGGTGGCCACTGGATGCAGTGGAAGGTAGGTATACTTACCTGAAGCCACTCGTTGTGGCTGAGACCATTTTCTTCCTGGGGCCCACATCAGCTCCTGGTACATCATCTGCCAAGAGTTCTGAGAGTACAACACTAAGGGTCTATGGAGGATCCTGCAAACCTATACAGATCACTTCTTGCGATGAGCGAGATGATGTCTGAACCCCACAGTCATCACTTGTGATGGCTGATTGAATTGGACAAAAGTTGATAGTGGATCTCCACCTTGTGTAAACCTTTTTCTAACTCAGACTTTCATGTTTAATGTAAAAAGCTTTAAAATTACAAATAATATCTTACTGTTAGTAGTGAGTAAAACAAAACCTCCTTGCTTTTTTTTGTGCCAAATTTCTTACCTCTGGGATCAAGCTAGTGTCACAAATTCCATAATTTTTGAAATGTTTTGATCCTGGTGGGATAAATTGTAGAGGGAATGTAAATACACCAACCATTAGTATAGCACTATCGTGTTCCCGCAATTCAGGTGTGTACAAAATCCGGATTCCAGAATTATCTATTATTCCTACAAAAAACAAATATAGAGCAAGATGCCCACTGTGGTTTACACACCAAAAGATGATTATCATAATAGAGTTATTAATACATGCACACTGCACATTAAAGGAATAGTCTAAACATTAAAACAACTTAGCAGTGACACTGCAGGGACATGAACAATATACCAAAACTGCTTCATTAAGCTAAAGTGGTTTTGGTGCTTAAAATATCCCTTTACCTCTTGATCCAAAGATACTTGCCAATTAGTTAAGAATAGTTATACACCTTCTTCAGGATCAGGAACAGGGGATATAGGAATGTATGAAAAGTTGATGATGATGAATAGGAATGTTTTTTAGTCTTTGAAATATGACCAATGTTATTACCTCTCACATTGCAAAAAAAAAAAAAAACACATTCCTTGCTGTTTGGGTGCTTTTCACCACATGGACGCAGCACAATGCTATTTAGGCTTGGTAGTAATTTACGTGTCACAGGTTTGAGCAGAAGCATTTTACTAGTGATGTCCACGTCTTTACTATGAGAACTGGACTTGTGCACGATGAGAAACGGACAAAGTGATTCTCTTTGGAAAATAACAGTTTTCTGAATACCATTTGGTCGAAAGTCTGCCCAGTTTGACCGTATCCCAATTCGGAAAATGAATCAGGCAAACCAAAAAAAAATATGTGAAAATGGGCCAGTCAGTGTGAGGCAAAATATATATACATAATATAATATTATGAGTATATGTTTACAGTACACTGATAAGATTTACCCATCAACATTTTCCCATCATTTAGTTCCCAGATCAGGTGAGTAAAATTAATCAAACATGAGAAAAAGTATATACTATACATTTATTAAATATGTAATATATAAATATAGAGAGATTTTTTTTTAACTGCACCTTCTGTTTTTCCCTATATGTTGCTTTTTACTTCACCCTGCTCACTTCTCACTTGATCTATAAATGCTGCTTCCTAGCCATCAATCACCTTTTTTTCCCATCAATGTTCTATTTTTTTGATGCCTCAGGGAGCCCCCTCTCCCAAAAAAATTAAATAAAATTCATGCTCTGCATTGCTCTGTTTGGTTGCATTGCGGTTCAAAATTCAAAAGGTTTTGTTGGAACCAATTGGTCTAAATTTGGACAAACTGCAGAGTAAAAAAGAATGACGGAGCCTCAACACTCCTATACTATACAGGAAGAGTGCTGAATCTCCTACAAGTAAATTACATTTCTACAAATTTCAGTTCAGCCCAAAAGGAATCTCCAAATCTAATGAGAACTCTCTAGAGAGGTTTTTTTCTTGACTTTGCATGAAAACATATTAATTTCACTTCATAAATAGCTATATGACTAGGGAATTTATAGGGATTTCTATTTGCACTAGATAATTCACATTTTATAGAGCTATACCTGCTGGCTTCCCAAGTTAGGAATTAGCCTTCTAAGAAAACAAAGTCTGTTTATTGTACAGTGGTAGAAAGATAATCATATATCATATATTACACCTTTTTTATAACCCCATACCTTCTATCTCTTCAAAGTTACTGTAATGAATTTCAATCCTGATATACTGAGGGTCATCCTCTGTGCCTATGGATACGCCTGTGGTATTTGGAAAATAAAACGCCTGCAAAAAAAAATAATAGATATAAACAAAATCTTACCTTTTTTAATTATTAAAAAAGACAACATTGAGCAGTGTTCTATAGAGGTCAACAATCACCAAAAACATTTAACATAAATACAAGTAATACAGCTAAGGAGCTGACTGTACATTTTATTACAATTTCTAACATTTTACAAATAATATTTGTAAGCCTTGGTAACCGCCACAAAACATTTGAAAAGAAAGCCGAGACAAGCAGGGGGAGTACTGGATCAAGACGCCGACAATGGCACTTAATGCATTCAGCAAAAACAAACCAATATACAGAGGACAATATGAGTGCAAAAATTACTATAACTGATATTAACAAAGTGGGAATAAACCACAAGGGGGTGATATTATGTACTATGTTATTATGTTTCACCCCAAATGGCCACCTGGTATTGAGCAAAGAGAATATTTCTTAATTTAGATATAAAATGACAAGTCATCATCCAATATGGAAAATAAAAAAATATTAAAAATATGTAATTCCAGTCTAAATTAAAAAGGCTCTTCAACTAACACTTAAGCAACTATTAGTTGTTAAACTAGTTCCATATAGCCATTTGAATTTTATCCTATCATGTTGTACTTCATATTTATTTTTACTTGTTCTCTAAGGTGTACATTTTAGCTACGATAATCAGTCTTGAAAGAGGCTCAAGACACATTAATAAGTACAAGCCTAGAATAGTGGAGGCCTAGTGTCTGATGATAGAATTCACATCCCATTTGGAATTAATTCTGCTAGGACAGGGGTGCCCAAAGAGTAGATCCTAAGATGTTTTAGAACTACAACTTCCATAATTCTTTGTCATTCTAAAAGCATTCTGAAGGCATGCAAAGCATCATGGGAGTTGTAGTTCTCTGGGGAACTACCTTTTAGGCACCCACGTGTTAGGGGATCTTGTCTGTAATTCAAAAATCCAGAAAACATAATTTTAAAGCTTCCAAAGTATGTCTCCTACACCTCTAGATAGTGAGCATTATTCTTTGCCTGAAGTATATCATTTAAGATCACCACACTTCTAAAACTAACAGTTAAAAGGAGACTTCAATTTATTTTGATCTGTATTCAATATGTGCTTGTGAATTTATTCATTAAATCTTCTAGTGGTCTTTCACACCTATTGGACATTGCATTTTAAACAAACAAACACAATCAAACAAACAAACAAAATAGGCCACAAAATTAGAATCACAATTTATGAAAGTGACAATTTTGCATGGTCTGCCTGTTGAAAATGATACAAATTGAGATGCTTCTTGACATATTTGAATACTTGCAATGTTTGCCTCTGCATTGTAACCAAGTGGGCAACTTGTTTTCTCATTTACAATATAAATGACTGCGAGAGAGATATGAGCCCAGCGTTTTGCTAATTTTGATACTAGAATTATTAATAGTAAATATTTATTATACATTTCATCTAAATTCGAGTTAGGCAACTAATTATTTAATATAGAGTACTGCTTGCAAAAGATAGCGGCCTTGGAAAATTTTAATAGGTCAGGGAACTGGGATCTATGAATTCTACTCCAGCATTCCCCCAAAAAATATTGTGCTATCAACAAATGTTATCTATATATTTTTTAATTAATGGATGATTTATTCATATTATTAAATAAGAAGGAAGCACGCTCACCGATATGTAAATACAGGAGAGTCTTCTCACTCACCTCTCCCCCTACAGCCCATCCCAGCATGGGTGTCATGCATTGTGAGAATCGAACATCACTGCCATAACAGTCTCCAACATCAAATGTGATTTCAGTAGAGTTGGCGCAAGTGTAGATCAAAATGTGATGGACTATATCAACACTCTTGGGGTCAATCATTGGCTCATACTGCAGAGAATTTAAGAACAGGGGGATAATGCAACATTGTTAGGTTGACTGTTGAATAGGTGGGGGAATGTTAGGACATTGAAACAAATGAGGAAAAGGAGAATCAGTAAATTAAAGAAAGCTGCTAAAGTTGACACATCATCTATACATCTATAGATTGACGTTGACTGCAATGATATGAATTATGGAAATAGTTACCATTATAATGTGATGTTTTGTAGAAACTTGGGGTAGAGGGAGAAAAGTGCAGGCGTAGGTAGTGTCTTGATCTGGAATAGGAAACTGCAACAACAAGGAAATATGTGAATAGAGACCCACATAAACACATTCATGCACTGGTAATTTAGCTTATTTATGTTTATATTTATTTAGCTGACATAGGCATGCAATGGGAAAAAATAAATGAAAAAAATGGCAACTTTCACCATCTGCAAAATTCACATTTTTGACATTCTGGGTGTAGTGTAGGAACTGTATGTTTGCATAATGTTTATTTGATAGGGTACCAAACACAACTACACTAACCAGGCACCTTGCTATACAAGCAGAACACATAGTTATAATTTGTAAAAGTGATGGTGTAAACAAGGAAATTAATAACATTTAAAATATGAAAATTATTATAATCTAATAATTATTGTAATAAACATATGTATTTAACTCAACTCTTTAAAATAAACATTTACAAAATAATGCTATATCTCTGAAACTGCAATGTTTTTCATTACAGCGTTAAGAGGACAGAGGCACTCCACCCAGACAACTTCAATAAAACAAAGTGTCCCTTTAAAATTGAATCTCCATCTGTTTCAGGACAGACAGACATCTGCTCTAAATAAAGTTACTTTACTGATAGCATCGATGTATTAAAATCCTACATGTTTAAGAAAATGAAAACATGTTACATGACCGGTATTTAGTCGCCATATGGGCAGTCGGACTCCAGGACAACCCTCCCACATTCCTAACCCAATCACGCACTGACACTCGGGTATGTGGGAAAATATGTCCACAGCTTTATTAAACAATCTTAAATAATAATAACAATATATCCATTATAACATAATAATAATAATAATAATAATAATAATAATAATAATAATAACTTAACAATTAAACATGAGTCATTGCCCCCCATACTCCGCCCTCGCATCTTAATCCTTCTGTTAATATAAAAGGCAATGACCCCCATATAAATAACACATATATATAACATATACCAACATTATTCCAACATACCACCTTAAAGTGCCAAACATAAATTAACAATGGCAGGGGTATACCCGGACACCCCTACCCCTGAGCCACCGACAGGACTCGAAACCTACCAACCACCAATGACCACAGTTTTCCGTTTCTGTCACGTTCATCCTAGGGAGCCTATTCCTGCTCCTTCAGCTCCCTATCCCGCCGCTGTGAAAAAACGAGATATCCCCCACCAGAAACAATATTCAGGGAGGGTGGGCGGGACAAACTCGGTCAGGTAGGAAATTAGAAGTGAGTTCACTTAAAATGGCTGCCTATTTAAATATCTCAGCCCACTTACCCATAACTCCATACTACCTTCCCTCCTCCTATGCCCGCCTCCTAACTCCTGTCAATGCCCTTTTCCGCTTAGCTGTGCTTTGGCTACATGGGGCTACATTTCTGCATCACACTTCTACTTAAAGGACGACTATAGGCACCCAGACCACTTCAGCTTAATGAAGTGGTCTGGGTGCCTGGTCCATCTGGGATTAAACCTTTTTTTATTAACATAGCAGTTTCAGAGAAACTGCTATGTTTATATTAGGGTTAATACAGCCTCTAGTGGCTGTCTCATTGACAGCCGCTAGAGGCGCTTGCACACTTCTCACTGTGATTGTGAATGCTTTCCTATGAGACTGGCTGAATGCACGTGCGGCTCTTGCCGCGCATGCGCATTCAGCTGAAGGGGAGGAGAGGAGGAGGAGAGCTCCCTGCCCGGCGCTGGAGAAAGAGGTAAGTTTAACCCCTTCCTCTCCCCAGAGCCCGGGAGGGGGACTCCGAGGGTGGGGGCACCCTCAGGGCACTATAGTGCCAGGAAAACGAGTATGTTTTCCTGGCACTATAGTGGTCCTTTAAAGAATCAGTAAGTGCTGATAACAATCCAATCATTTTTGTTTCATTTTTTTTAGGAGTACACACAGACATATTATATTGTTCATAACAGCAAGGAACAATACACAAGAAGTTCACTTTGGGCATAGTCCAAACGTAACTGTTAATTGATATCTCCTGACTCAAAAGGGTTTTTCTTTATTTTATCTATAACTGAGTAAACGTTCTCACTAAAAAGAAAGAGAAAACCACACCTTAGCAAAGGTGGTCATTGTATTACCTACTTGGGCCATGAGTTTATCCATTAGGTAATTATGTCTGATTTTGACAATAACACTATCCAATTTAGGTACATCTTTACTGAGCCATTCTTGCACTAGTGCGCGTCTAGCTGCCAATGTTATCTTATTCAATAGTTTCTGTTCCCATTAGGTCAGACCTCCGGTAGGCTAAGCCAGCAAGAATGACCATGGCTCAATGTCTATATACCTGTGCTGTACCTATTTTAATAGGTCTCTAATTATACTCCAGAACCTAGCTAACTCGGGGCATGTCCTCCACATGTGCACATAAGTACCTTTTTGGGCCACATCCACTCCAATACTAATCTGTAGGGGACCTGCCCATATGGAATTGCTTAATTGAGGAGGTATACCACCTCATCAGAGTTTTAATACACTTGTTCTTGGAGTGTCATGCAAGTCGAGGTCTTGGCTGCTGCTTCCCAGATGTCTTCCCACTAACCCCCTCGATCCTTTGTTGCAGGTCAGTTTCCCACTGGTCACTATATCTCAGAGTTCTCTCATCTCCAGATGCTGAGCATACACTGCAGTGATCAGTCAATCCAACCATTTGTAAGCGAACTTGGACATTGATTTAAAAGAAAATATAAAATGATATTTTTTGGTTTAAAAACAGATGCTATTATCTCTTTGATAGCTCTATTTTGTGTGCACCGGTGACTGTAGAAAGGTTATAGATCACAAGGGAATAGTAAGAAATATTTTTTCCTTCAATATCCTTACCAAACAAAAAAGAAACAAACCAATAAAGGCACGAAAAAAATATTTTAAACCAGTGTGCATTAGGCCTGTGTCTATTGTAAAGATTAATGTGTTCCTGGTCTTCTTAAATCAGAAGAATGAGTGATACATATAACCACAATAACAAGTTAACTTGATAAAACCAATTTAATTTTTTCATCCCTGCTCCCCCTTCACTCCCCCCATGCATTCGTAATTGCCGAGGTACTTACATTATTCAATTTGAGATCATAGGACAGGACTTTACTAGGATTTTCAACCACTGATTCCACTAACAGGAAAAAAGTGGGTCTGTAGAAAAAGTGATCTTCTGTATATGTGAGATCGTTGCTTTCACCGTAGATCACAATCACTCGCAGAGTGTCATTCTACCACAGGGAAATACATACTTTCAGTAAATTGTAGGTTATTATGTAGTTATTAGAATATGTTTCTGACATGATAACTTGAAGGTAGAACAGCACCCTAAATGATCGTGTTGTAAGAGCCTATATTAATTTATGCTTTTCCATAGATTCTAAAGGTGTTTATCAAAAGATTAATTTTGCAAAACAAAAGAAAACAAAAAATAACAACATTTTATCGTTTTACAAAAAATGATTCCTGTCCTTAACTGAAATACAAATTTTATTCAGTATAATGCTCAAATTGTTTCATTGTCAAATGCATATTACGACAAATGTTGATCTAGTGTACCATTATCGGTAATATTTTAAGAGATATGTTCAAAGGTTTAGAATACAATTATTTACGTATTGGTCATCAGAATTATTAAATAAAACATTGTTTGCTAGAAAGCAAGTCCACTATAAACAGTACTTTTAGAGGCAATACAAAAAATATTTTTTTCACCTCAATGTCTTGGTCAAAAGGGTCGCATGTAAACCATTTGCGCCAAACTCTCAAGAAGCTGTGTGTATCATTATTCTTCAAGTCCATCAGTTTATAATCCTGGGACTCATCCTTCTCTGGGGGCCAATCCCCAGTCATGTAGCCATCCTAAAGATAAATCCATCAGATAACAGACTGTTAAAGGTAATTGATATTTAAACAGAGGAATCTATATAGAAATATATAATGTGATGGCAGATAAGAACAATTCGACACAACTAGGCTGCACAATTTTCTAAATACTTTCATTAGTCCCTGGTTATATCTTATATCTAGGATAGCCTTATGCCTATCCCATAGATGCTTGAACTCCCTCGTTGTGTTAATCTCTATCACTTCAGCTGGGAGGCTATTCCATGCATCCACTACCATCTCAGTAAAATAATATTTCCTGATATTTTTTTTTAAACATTCATCCCTCTAATTTAAGACTATATCCTCTTGTTGTGGTAGTTTTTCTTCTTTTAAATATACTCTCCTCATTTATTGTGTTGATTCCCTTTATGTATTTAAATGTTTCTATCGTATCCCCCTGTCTCATCTCTCATCCAAGCAATTCATGTTAAAACCCTTTAACCTTTCCAAGTAAGTTTTATCCTGCAATCCATGAACAAGTTTTATAGCCCTTCTTTGAACTCTCTCCAAAGTATCAATATCCTTCTGGAGATTTTGTGCTCTGTACAATAGCATGAGCACTTCCCTCTTTCTACTGCTAATACCTCTCCCTTTACAACCAAGCATTCTGCTATCATTTCTTGCTGCTCTATTACATTGTCTGCCTACCTTTAAGTCATCTGAAATAATCACCCTAAATTCCTTTTCTCAGATGTTGAGGTTAGGACTGCATCAAATATGCTATACTCTGCCCATGATTTTTTACGTCCAAGATGCATTACCTTTCACTTATCCACATTAAATCTCAGTTAATACAACTCTGGCCATTTTTCTAGTGTACATAAATCATTTGCCATTTGGCTTATCCCTACTGGAGCATCAACCCTGTTGCAAATCTTTGTCTCATCAGCAAATATACATACCTTACTACAAAGACCTTTTGCAATTTCACAAATAAAAATATTAAAGAGAATTGGTCCAAGTACAGATCCCTGAGGTATCCCACTGATAACAAGACCTTGCTTCGAATATACTCCATTGGCTACAACCCTTTATTGCCTGTTACTCACCCACTGCCTAACCAATTCAACAATATTGGAATCTAAACTAAAAGATTGCAGTTTATTGAAGAGCTTTATATGTGCAACAGTGTCAAAAGCCTTACTGAAATCTAGGTAAGCAATGTCTACTGCACCACCCTGATCTAATATTTTAATTACCCAATCAAAAAAAAATCAATAAGATTAATTTTGTATGAAGTAAACCCATGGTGATTGTCAAACTTTTAAAACTGTTCATACATTCTCTATAAGCAGCATATTTTATAAATTTCAACCAGTAATTACTAATAACTATATGATTATATCACTGTGATAAATACAGTAAAGTGGTTAATTCTCCACTGGGTTTACATAAATTCTAACTACAGTTGGTTTTGCTAACCAAATATATTTTTACAGGGGCATTTTTATCTAAAATAACAATACATATGGATTCTGTGGACTCACATATATAAAGACTTGTTCTTCATGCCAGCCGGCAATCACAAAGTCACTTCCATTGAGAGACCCATCAGGGCTGAGTCCTAAGCTTATCCATAATGCTTTTTTGACCTGGACCTCCAGAACAATTTCTTGATTCTTTCTGTCATATCCCCAAAGTAGAAAAGCTGTCTCATCACTTCCTCGAGACTTCACTATTTCTGAGTATTCTAAGTCTATAGTCCTTACAGACCCTACAATACAAATGACCTTGGCCAAGATCCACCAGAAGTGACATGTTGGACCTTTCTCAGCCTTCATGGCAAGAGTTTCCAGCTCAGAGTAGAGAGGGCATGGTGTGGAGTATGTGCTTAGTCCTCTGTATAAAGAGGTATGGTTGCTTTATAATCTTCTTTTAGGGCTTCATTTCGCATGAGTTAATATCTGTTTTCCTACCTTTTTATGTTATCAGATTAATGTCTTATATACTTAAACGTTTCTGATTACAAGATTAGATAGAGATAGCGATATTCAGCTTGCCACCTTTGGATAATACATTAAATAATGTTTAAGTGTAAGGTGCGATCAAATAATTTAATTCCTCTAATCTCATAAGGCTTTATCTAAGTAAAAAACATCCAAAATACTAAAATTTCTTTCCTGAGCAAAACCCAAAAAATTATAAATATCATAATCATAAAAAAAATTTAATAAAATATAGAGGAGCTTGAAGGCAGTTTTGTGAATGCATCTTAATTGAAATACTACCACAATGCCAACATAATGTTAGTTTATAGAGATAGTTATAGCCTATAACAACAATTAGTACAGCTTCTTGGTTAGCACTAAACATCTGTACTTATTGCAGACTGACTTTTTGTATCTTTACAGTAGGGGTGAATTAAAGAACAGTTCTAGAACAAAGATTGCTTTGATTACAATAAAAACCCCTCTATAGGTTGTGACATCTACAGTTTTATTTTGTTTTGTTATTTATTTATTTATTTATTGTGTACAAGGTGTACAGAATAGATTTTAAACAATACCTGTATCCAATTTGGTGTTGTAACATGTATTTTTTGAAAAGCTATTTTTATAGTCAACTATTTATGCTAAACAAATTATTTGTTAATTCCTTGATTACTTGTTCTTCTATAATTGAAACTTCTTTCATGCTCCTCTTTATACATTCTTGCAAGAGATAAATCATAGCAGTTCTCACAGGATTCCAGAAAAGTTCAGAATACGTTTCACATGTGTCGCAGCCAAACATTAACAAACAGGGCTTGTTCAGGAACTACATTTCCATAAAAAGGCTTCACATTAAATATATAATGATATCTGTAAGGTGCCAATATCCGGGATCATTCATCCAATTAAGGTTTAAAAAGTGACATAAACCTATCAGCTGTCTTTGGCTCTGACTATTGTATCTTCAACTTTCCTGGGTGCTTTGAACTGTACATAATATTAATAAGGATTATATAATCTTGTAATTGACTCAACACGTACTTGCTAAGCAAGTCAATCCACATATTTTCAAATCATTCATCACTCGAAATCAAACTAAGATGACAATTTATTTATTAATGATACTCAAAAAGATCAAACATCAAACATGACAAATGTATGCAGGCCCGGACTGGCCATCGGGCACAGCGGGCAAATGCCCGGTGGGCCGCGGTGGCCATGGGCCGAGGCCGGCAGGGGAGGTCCCAGGATCTCCCCTGCCGGTCTATGCAGGGCCGGCACTCTCCTAGCGCCGGCCCCGCTGTTTGCCACGACGGGCCGGTGGGGAGATCTCCCTGACCGGCCCACATGCGGCCGCCGGCTGGGGAGGGGGGGGAGCCAGGCTGGAGAGAGGACCCGGCGGAGCTCTAACTTGCAGCTCCGCCGGGTTCCTCTCGCGAGATCCGGCACGTTGCCATGGCAACAACCGGATCTCGCGAGAGTGAACTCTAGCCTCACAGGCTAGAGTTCACTCACCCACGAGGACCACCAGGGAACACCGCGTGCCGGACCCCCCCTCCCAGTCCCAGCGTGCCGGTCCCCCCCTCCCTTCCAGGCTAAAGGTAAGAAGGGGGGGGGGGGGAATAATGCCTGTTTTTTTTATTTTTTTATTTACCCCCCCCTACACACACACACAATAACATTTATACAGCACTCTCACACCCATCACACACAGCACTCTCTCCCACAGCACTCTCACACCCATCACACACAGCACTCTCTCACACAGCACTCTCACACCCATCACACACAGCACTCTCACACCCATCACACACAGCACTCTCTCACCCATCACACACAGCACTCTCACACCCAGCACTCTCACACCCATCACACACAGCACTCTCACACCCATCACACACAGCACTCTCTCACACCCATCACACTCACAGCACTCTCACACACACACAGCACTCTCACAGAGCACTCTCTCACACAGCACTCTCACACCATCACACACAGCACTTTCACACACACAGCACTCTCACACCCATCACACTCACAGCACTCTCTCACAGAGCACTCTCACACAGCACTCTCTCACACCCATCTCACACAGCACTCTCACACAGCACTCTCACACCCATCACTCACACACGGCACTCTCACACCCATCACTCACACACAGCACTCTCACACCGCACCCCTCACACACACACCGCACCCTCACACACACACATACTGCACCCTCACATACACACAGAACCCCCCCAACACACTGCACCACACACATACACAATACTTCCAAATATATATATATATATATATATATATATATATATACACACACACTACACTCTTAAAGGACCACTCTAGCCACCCAGACCACTTCAGCTTAATGAAGTGGTCTTGGTGCCAGGTCCTTCTAGGGTTAACCCATTGTTTTATAAACATAGCAGTTTTAGAGAAACTGCTATGTTTATCAATGGGTTAAGCCTTCCCCCAAAGCCTCTAGCAGCTGTCTCATTGACAGCCGCTAGAGGCGCTTGCGTGCTTTTCACTGTGAAAATCACAGTCAGAGCACGCAAGCGTCCATAGGAAAGCATTATAAATGCTTTCTTATGCGACCGGCTGAATGCGCGCGCAGCTCTTGCCGCGCGTGCGCATCGGAGGAGGAGAGCTCCCCACACGGCGCTGGAAAAAGGTAAGTTTTAACCCCTTTCCAGAGCCGGGCGGGAGGGGGTCCATGAGCCACATATGCATCACATTACACCACAAACACAACACGACTAAAACCGACCTTATTACACAATACCACACCACGACCAGCTCACTCTACACACACGCAATACCACAAGCAGGCTCCAAACACATGCACAATACTCTTTCCTGGCCTTTTGTCTCCTGGTATCCATTTATAAAGACACCAGAGACAAGTTGCAAGGAAACACAGTGCAAGCATGTTATTAATTTTGCTTGCACTGTGCAGAACAAATACAGGACTTTTTTCTCATGCTAGAGCTCTTCAGCAGAGCTCTGCGCATGGTCTGCCCTGGAAGAGCATTGAACCAACATGCTCACTTTGAGAGAAGGGCGTGTTTGTCATTGGTGATGACAAAACACACCTCCTCTGCCCCGCCCCCTTTTTAGTGGGCCGCTGTGTTAAAAAAATGCCCGGGCCGAATTTTTCTCCCAGTCCGGCCCTGTATGTATGTAAAATAAATGCATGCTGGTACAAACAAGTTTATAGGAAGAGTTGAGAAATTTTGAAAACTCAGAATAATGAGATATTTTGCATAGTTTCCACTTTGAAAATGCTCACAGAAAAATGTGAATTTGAAGTATCTCTGTCAAATTTGAGCAGGAGATTGATCTTGAAAATAACAAAACAAGTATCTATAAGTTTTATTATTTTATGTATGGCTCTTTACACACACACATATTATTCACTACAAGGTCTCTCTGACATTCTAACCACATAGCCAACACTTAAAGTAGACACAAGTGGCAGGTATTAGTCCCCTATTAAAAAAAAAAAAAAAAATATCACACAGAGGATGGACTCTCTCCTTCTGGGCTACGATTTCTAATCTAATCCCATAAACACCTGTCCAGTAGGGATTTAAAGGAAAGATAATTTACCCGCAGAGTTGCTGAATGTGTATGCCCAAGTTTGCCCTGTCTCCAAGAGAGACATATATCAGTCTTAGTTGTTGAAGCACAAAGTTGTATGATTTGCTATTGTGTCTGGCTGTGTTACTGCCACATATATGTTGACACAGTTTGCAGAGTGATTTGTGGTATCATGCAGTGCCATTCTGTGTGAGCTCCTGTTCTGTGGTCAATTTGCTCTGGAGCAATCTCTGTCTCAGGTTGGGTAATTGTTTAAATGCTAGTATGGGGGGAGGAGAGTTCAGGAAATATTTCTTTGAAATGTAAGGTTGTAGCTCTTTAATAATGTTATGTACTCCTTCTAGAGTTGGGTTGTATGTAACTACTAGAGGGATGTGAGAGAGAGAGAGAGAGAGAGAGTGTGTGTAACCAATATAGATTTTAAAGAAAGAAAAAAGATACTTATTTTTGCAGTGGATGTATCTTGCAAAACCAGAAAGCCCATCCAAGACCAGTTAGGAGCCTCTTATTCCAACTAGTCAGGAGCCTCTTATTCCACCAGTCAGGAAGCTCTTATTCCAGGGTTTGATGATTCATCTCATCCCATAAACCCATATACAGAAGAGACTTGAGGGATATGTTATTGCAAAATTGGAAGCACTTCAGACTGGGTTTTTTGCATTCTTTTGTATCAACCCCAAAAACACATGTGAGAAAGGCTGAACCTGATGGTCTCTTTTCAGCTATGTAACTATGTAACTATGTATTTAAAGATGCCCTCTATCATTGGGACACGTGAGCTGTTTTTTTTATGTTTGTTTGTTTTTGCCTTACGTAGGCTGAGATCCCACATACACTTGCTATATGTTCAATCCCACATTACATTGGTAGATTCTGACAATTTATTGTGCTCCAAAAATTCTTGACCCACTTTAATCAATGATCAAACTTTAGTCATACCACGTCACTGCTCAGCGTTATATTTCTCATATACATTTTACCATTTGTAGCTCTTGATACGGTATGGAATAGTACTGTCAGTCAATATTATGTTGATCTATGCAGTGAATATTTAATTAATTTTGTTATTATATTTGTTTTAAATGTGTTATTGATCCCTTCTAAAAATGTGTGGGGTGTCAGATCCTTGGTTCATGGTCATGAATCTAACTCTGTTTATATTATTTATTTCTTGCTAAATATTCTAATTTATTCAGTCTTTCAGTTTACATGCCATGCTCATGAATTCTTGAATAACC